AAAGTATCACGCTTCAGTCATCACGTTTGACACTTTTTACACTACAACTCCGACCCTTATTTATTTATTTATTTATTTATCATGCACGCATAGGTGCGCTAAACAGTGCAAGCGATAGGCTTCGAGTCATAGAACAAACAACAATACAATTACTAAAAAAAAATTCGGTAACACAAAACAACCGAGGAGAGACTTCACTAAACTGCTGGTTTCAGGAATCCTGAATGCTTAGCAAGGTCATCAGGTCAACCTTCTTAAGTTTCTTTCTAAACGTGTAGGTGTTAGGCGCCTCCTGCAGGTCTGATGGAAGTAATTTGAGATATCTCGCTCCACGGAAAAACAGTGAGTTGAAAACTCTGGTTCGGTGGCCCTTGCACAGTTTAGGACATTGTAAGGACAACGAGGAGGTGCGGCCATTTGTCGGCCTGAACACCCAGTATTTACTGGGTTTCAACCTTAGCTCTCCTTTCAGTATCTTGAAACAGAACACAATGTCATTGAACACTCGTCTGTGCATTAGTGATTTGAGGTTGAAAATGTGTAGGCGCTCCTGATAGCTGGGCATACTATGCGGATACTCAGGATTGGGAAAACAACGATACATCAAAACGTAAAGGACGTCTATCGTAACGTCTATCGTAAAGGTCTGCTGCACCTTTTCGATTTTCGCCTGGAGCTTCTTAGTATGAGGGCTCCATATTTGCGAACCGTATTCGAGAATGGGGATGACGTATGCTTTATAAAGCTTCAGTAGAATTGAAGAGTCGTTCTGTCGAATATTTCTCAAGATGGCAAAGAGGGCCATAAGCTTTACGAATAATAGCATCATGAGGACCCCAAGATCGCGAACTTCTCTCGAAACACTTATGGAGATGCCGTCGACGGTGTACGGTACAACTATTGCTTTTCCTATGTGAAGTACAGAAGTTTTCATAAAATTAACTGGTATACCCCAAGCAGTAGCCCACCCCATCATGTTACATACAGATTGGGTTAACGCTCGGTGAACGCAGTCATGGTTATAATTGTCATAGACACCGTATATTTTGATGTCATCGGCGTACATTTTAACACTGACCAATGGGTGGGTATTTAGGCAGGCTGGAAGGTCGTAGGTGTACATCAAAAACAGCAGAGGAGACAACACCTCCTTGTGGAACTCCACTAGTGCAGGGGAAACTGTGAAAAACTGTCACCCACTTTGACAACATGTGTCTATTCTTCAGATAACAGCTGATCCAGCTAAGGATGGGGCCTTCGATACCCAATTGCCACAATTTGTATTGGAGCTTTTCATGATTTACTTTATCGAACGCTTTGGACAAGTCGAAATAAATAACGTCCACACCCTTCCCCTTGTTAATAGCTAAATTCCAATCGAACAGACAGTCTGCCATAAGAGGTACCTGTGGAAGCACCGCTAATAAACCCATGTTGTTCTGCGGGAATCAGATTGTTCTTCATCAAATGAGATACAATTTTATCACGTAAAATCGTCTCCAGAGCTTTAGCAGGGGGTCCAGTGCTTTAGCAGTGGATACGAGTACCAGGGCGAAAGATACCCAAGATGTTCCTCTATAAGCAGGAGCTGGCGCTCGCCCATCACCTTCATGTACACCAAAATATGAAGTCGTAATGCTTATTGGGCGAGACGAAGAGACATGCTTAGGCTCGGGTACCTTAGGGATGGCAGTAACGATGGATTCTTTCCAGCTCATCGGGACCTCACAGAACATGAGAGAAACATTGAGTATCATACAAATGGGTTTGCATAAGGAGAGGGCACAGTTTTTATAAACAATTTGTGGAATACCATCGAAAGGAACCGAGGTGGAGCACTTGAACGATCTAAGTGTTTTGTAAACGTCTTCATTGGTTACAACACACTCCCTGAGAGTATCAAGAGATACACGACTTTCGGAGCTTACGTCAGGGTTTATGTTACCCGCAGAGGAGAAAACGAAGAAAAGAACTTGGCGAGGGCTTCAGCTTTTTGGACATCAGTTACAAAAAGATTTCCTGTGTCATCATGAAGCACAGGTATACCAGTATGAGTCCTAAGCCTACTTCTAATCAGCAGCGCAAAGAGAACTCTTTTATTTGGGCTAGTTGATAACCCTTTTTTCCCTATAAGACAGGAATCTCTTTAAAGACACATGGTACGCTCAAACACATTGAGGGAGACTATCAGCCCCCAGCTGTCGATGTGTCGTGGTCCCCCCGCCCAAACATGCCCAGGAATGGAGATACAGGACCGTGAAACACGCTAATTCCTCCATGCTCCGCCTTACACCTTTTTGCGGCGCAGATTCCCGTCCTTCATAACATCCGTCGTAAGCGCGCGTGTCGCGTGCGGCTCCTTGGCACTTTGCCAAGTCCTTTAATTGCGCTCTCAAATACAAGTAAAACGCAATTTCCTGATGCGGATAACATTGGAGGTGCTACAAAATAAGAACAGAAGATGATGACGAGGGCCAGAACTCAAGAGCAACTCGGCTGCATCTGCAGTATCCATCAGAGGCCGCGCATTCCCACAAAACATGAGAATAAAAACAATCCAAGCGTCCCACTCGTTTGTTCTAAGTATTTCTATGGCTTTGGCGCCGGATCGTAGAAATTTACAGGCGATTTTAACTAATTTGCCTTTCCTTGATTTTTTCATTTTTGTTTTGTTTACATTTACATCGTTGTG